CCACGGGTCAACCAGAGCCTGCTGCCACCTCTCTGGGTCAACCAGAACCTCCTGGCCATCTCCCTGGGTCAACCAGAGCCTGCTGCCACCTCTCTGGGTCAACCAGAACTTCCTGGTCACCCCCATGGGTCAACCAGAGCCCACTGCCACCTCTCTGAGTCAACCAGAACCTCCTGGTCACCCCCATGGGTCAACCAGAGCCCACTGCCACCCTCCTGTCACCCCCTGTCACCTCCTTGGGGCACCCATCACCTCCCAGTCACCTTCTATCACCTCTCTGCGTCACCAGCCACCTCCTGGGGTCCCGTCTGCTGTGCCCAGTCCTGTCCCCACGGGGACATCCCCGTCCCTGTGCTATTGGTGATGTCCCTGCCCCCACGCCCCGGGTGATGTCCCCATCCACATGCCCTGGGTGACATCATGTCCCGTCCCCCCCCCCGGTGCCCTCCACGCCGGGCAGGCTTCAATGAGGACAGCCGCTCCGTGGACCCCGACTACCCCAAGGGCATCGAGGTGTGGGGCGGCGTCCCCGAGTCCCCCCGCGGCGCCTTCATGGGCTCCGATGACGGTGAGGGACGCGGGGGCGGGACACGGGGGACATCACAGGGTCACGGTGGACGTGGCGGATGGGGTGGACGTGGTGGATGGGGTGGACATGGTGGATGGGGTGGATGTGTGGGTACGTGGTGGACATGGGGGACATTGGGGACATCAGGGACGTGGTGGATGGGGTGGACATGGGGGACATGAGGGTCATGGGGGACATGGGGGGATGGGGTGGATGGGGTGGACATGGGGGACAGGATGTGGTAGATGGGGTGGATGTAGGGGGACAACGCTGGGTCCTCACTGGCATCTCTCTCCTCTCTCTGCCCCGTGTCCTCCATCCTGTGTCCACCCCATGTCCCTTCATCTCCTCCCATGTCCCTCCATGTCCCTCCATGACCCCATGTCTATGTCCATGTCCCTAACATCCATGTCCCTCATGTTCATGTCCCCCCATATCCATGTCACCGACGTCCATGTCCCTCTGTGACCATGAACCTTCATGTCCCCATCCATGTCCCTCCATGTCCATGTCCCTCCATGACCATGTCCATGTCCCCTATGTCCATGTCCCTCAATGTTCCTCCATGTCCATGTCCCTCATATCCATGACCCTCCCTGACCATGTCCCTCCATATTCCTGCATGTCCATGTCCCTCATGTCCCTTCATGTCCATATCCCTGTCCCACCATGTCCCTCCATGTCCATGTCCCTCCCTATCCCCCATGTCCATGTCCCTCCATGTCCCCCATGTCCCACCATGTCCATGTCCCTCCATGTCCCCCAATGGGCCTCCATGTCCATGTCCCTGTCCCACCATGTTCCTCCATGACCATGTCCCTCCATATCCATGTCCATGTCCCGTTTCCCCATGTCCACGACCCTCCATGTTCATGTTCCTCCATGTCCGTGTCCACGTCCCTCAATCTTCCTCCGTGACCATGTCCCTCCATCTCCATGTCCCTCCATGTCCATGTCCCTGTCCCCCATGTCCATGTCCCTCCATGTCCC